AGAATAGCGAAGCCTACTATTCTTGCGAAAGAGAAAAAGAGTAAACGATGAAATAAAGAGTTACCAACTGCGTTAATTGAAGCACGTTAGAAAACAAAGTGGGAGATTCGGAGCAGGGAACTCCATACAAATGCATATGATGCGCCCTCGTCACTTTGAGCTGTTTGCACATGAACGCCTGTAAAAAGAAGAAAGCGGTTAGCGCTTTTGTATGCATGTACATGTGCACATTCCACAGCTTACCTGTTCGGTTGCCAATTAAGAAGATTATGCTCAAATATTATCCTTGGTCCAAATTGCGCCGCATCGAGAGGGTATCCAAATGACTTGGTTTGAGCAGCATCATTGATTCCTAGTAAAACCGCCCTCTAAATTAAAACCAATTAAACATTCACAAAACAGATCATAAACTGCAAATATACTATTAACTTACCGCGAAAGAGGCTAAGGAACATTTCCCATTCAATTTTATTAAAATTTCTTCCAATTCATCCATTTTACTTATTTTTTATCTTAACACGCGAACCGAAACAGCAAACAATATTATCAAGAAGAAGAATAGCGAAGCCTACTATTCTTGCGAAAGAGAAAAAGAGTAAACGATGAAATAAAGAGTTACCAACTGCGTTAATTGAAGCACGTTAGAAAACAAAGTGGGAGATTCGGAGCAGGGAACTCCATACAAATGCATATATTACAGTGATTCACAGGATGTCATAACAAGTTATATTGGGCACGTTCAGAAGGCGCAACAGCTCAGTATCTGTTGCGATTGCACCTTCTGAACGCGTTGTTTCGTACTTCTGATCAACTCAACAGTTGCGTGTTAGATGATCGTAATATTTTTCTGATCATTTGAAACAACATGTTGTGTGTTTTGAATTTGGCAGCTAATATATCAAGCCGTTCAGAAGACGCATTACGATCACTGATTTTTTTTAGCAACGGTTGCGCTCAACTGCTGCCCTTCTGAACCTTCCCAATGTCATAAATTTTTTAAAGGGATTCTTGCAAACATAAGACAGTTTTAAAGTTTTAAATGTATGACTGTGAAATAAGGGCTGTTATAATACTTTGTTAATGCTCCTGAATGTATTTTTGTGTAGTTTGGATATTTTCAATCTGATCGAAATCACAAATGAGTGGCAATAGTGGCATCGAATCTAAAATAATAAGGAAATAGCTTACATCAAATGAACACCACGGTTGCATATTTTCGTGTCGCTTTTACACTTTCAAAGAAAAATTACTCATTCGGGAGAATTTTTCGAGATTTTGACAGAGCTAAAAATATGGAAAGTTTTTCTTTGTTTGAGAGATGGTGTTTTTTCTGAGTGTACTATTTTGGTTACACGCTACTGATAAGAAGCGTGTCCCAGTTGTCCTAACTAAATATCTAAAACAAGCAATTGTACTCGATCATCCCCTATCGCATGGTTAGTTGACACATATGTATGTATACGGTATTACATATGTCTAAAACAAACAGCAACATAAACAGGCGATAGAAATTGATCTCCTTTATCGCTAGACTATCTCTTATTGTATTTCGCTTATCATTTCTATTAGTGACGCGTTTCTTATGTTTCTCGTTCCCTACGATAAGAAACACGTTTCCAAATGTCTATGTATCTACGTACATATGTATGTATGTATGTAAATATATTTTAAATTTACAGTATATTTTGCTTAGCTGCCCATCCTTCTTTGCACGAAAAACTTGTGCGCTTAACCGAAAAAAGCACTTAAGCGAATTTTCTTTACTACTTCAATGAGGAAGGTATCCGAATCCCTATGAAACCAAATAATAGAGGAGCACTTACCACGTAGAAATTACTGCAAGAGAAATTTTTTCTGAATGGTATCTAATTATCTATATAACTACATAAAATAATTGCCGTTTTCGTTGTTCTGCGAGATGAGCAAAATAAATAATAGCTTGTAAAATTAGGGTATCTGTAGAGCCAGTGCAGGTAAACGTAATACTTTCTTTGATAATTGATAATAGTTGCAAATTTTTAAGGCAGGTGTCACTAATATGCCGGTATGTTGAATGCAAGTATCGGAGCAGTTTCCTTATAAATGTTAAAAATAATGCCGCTGATGCGCATTTTGGGGTAGGTATCTTAAATGTGCACTTAAGCACAAAGGCAGCAAAGCAAAATATACTGTAAATAGTCTCCTAATTGCAAGTAGACTGTACCAAGGGATAATCGCTTGCACTGAAATTATTGATTGGCTTGGCTACTTGCTTGTATACATAAATAATAAGCAGTGGAAGATTCCACAAACATCTTATGCGTATACTTACACTTACACAGATTTTATTTGAAAATAAACACTTTTCAGTAGCAGTTTTACATTCAGTTTTTAGAGTGTATAAAAAAAATGCGGAACGAACACTGAAGCAGCACTGACGGTAAAGAACGGCACTGTGCCGGACGGTCTGAACAACTCTTGTATTCACACATGTTCAAAGATGTTTGAACATATTGCCGAGCCCAAAAAAGTGAATATTTATGTACTGTATATATATTTTTTAAAAGTTCTTGCTATATTTAATGTTATTACTCAGGCAGATATGTATCCATGTTCAAAGATATTTGAACATACTGCCAAGGGCTAAAAAGTGTTAATGTTTTTTCGAATTAATGGGGCGTATTCTTGTTTTCGTACGAATCGAAAATCAAGAAATTTTCCTACATTTTCTATACAAAAATTTAAAATTTTCGATTCGTACGAAAACAAGAATATGCCTCAATATTTATTTTTTACCTTCAAAATATTTATTTTAAATTTGTTGTGGACAGGAAATCCAATCTAATTTACCCCAGGAGTTCCTCCAAGGTGGAGGACATGTTAATTTCTTCCTCTTACGCCAAATCTCAGGAAACTCGCCATGAATTTTTGGCCGTTTATGATGTTTATCCCAAAGGTGGGCTTGCCGGGGCCTAGGAGTTTGCCATTAACTATATCAGTGGTGTTATTACTCGTTGTGTGATCGATATTCTGTATCTCATCATTACCGCTACCTCCGCGATGACTACGCGTTGTACTGGTACCAGAATGTTTGCTACTAGACTTTGTATCAGANTAAATGTTAAAAATAATGCCGCTGATGCGCATTTTGGGGTAGGTATCTTAAATGTGCACTTAAGCACAAAGGCAGCAAAGCAAAATATACTGTAAATAGTCTCCTAATTGCAAGTAGACTGTACCAAGGGATAATCGCTTGCACTGAAATTATTGATTGGCTTGGCTACTTGCTTGTATACATAAATAATAAGCAGTGGAAGATTCCACAAACATCTTATGCGTATACTTACACTTACACAGATTTTATTTGAAAATAAACACTTTTCAGTAGCAGTTTTACATTCAGTTTTTAGAGTGTATAAAAAAAATGCGGAACGAACACTGAAGCAGCACTGACGGTAAAGAACGGCACTGTGCCGGACGGTCTGAACAACTCTTGTATTCACACATGTTCAAAGATGTTTGAACATATTGCCGAGCCCAAAAAAGTGAATATTTATGTACTGTATATATATTTTTTAAAAGTTCTTGCTATATTTAATGTTATTACTCAGGCAGATATGTATCCATGTTCAAAGATATTTGAACATACTGCCAAGGGCTAAAAAGTGTTAATGTTTTTTCGAATTAATGGGGCGTATTCTTGTTTTCGTACGAATCGAAAATCAAGAAATTTTCCTACATTTTCTATACAAAAATTTAAAATTTTCGATTCGTACGAAAACAAGAATATGCCTCAATATTTATTTTTTACCTTCAAAATATTTATTTTAAATTTGTTGTGGACAGGAAATCCAATCTAATTTACCCCAGGAGTTCCTCCAAGGTGGAGGACATGTTAATTTCTTCCTCTTACGCCAAATCTCAGGAAACTCGCCATGAATTTTTGGCCGTTTATGATGTTTATCCCAAAGGTGGGCTTGCCGGGGCCTAGGAGTTTGCCATTAACTATATCAGTGGTGTTATTACTCGTTGTGTGATCGATATTCTGTATCTCATCATTACCGCTACCTCCGCGATGACTACGCGTTGTACTGGTACCAGAATGTTTGCTACTAGACTTTGTATCAGATTTGCTGGTCTCTGATTTATTTAAATTTGCTGCTGTTTTGGATGTAGATTTTACTGAATGCTGCTCAACGTTGCCTCGATTTTGAACTTCCTTGTCTGGAGATTTATTCAATACATTTGTTCCAGTAGATTGAGTGTTGTGTGCTCGTATATTACATCCACCGTTAAGCACAGAGTTAGTGATTTCATTATAATTTGCATCGACCTCGTAGACTTCCTCGCCTTCTTCATCATTATCGATTTCGCTTTCATCGCCAGAATCTTCTCCTGCATTATCTTCTGTTGCATCTTCATACAAGCTCTGCAGGCAAATATCTACTTCCTGCATTAGTTTGAAGTGATAACTGCTTTCTATGCACTGCTGCTTCAAACATGTGTTTTCTTGTTGTGTCAACGTTTTTTCGGCAGCGACCACCATCACTATTTTGTCCCACATTTTGCCAAAATGTGGACCCCCCGCGGGACAAACAGATTCCTACATGGCATCTTTATGCATTTTCACCGTGTCAGCTACTTTGACACTTTTGGTGGTCGATGCACTAATTTCTGGCAAGACCCATTCTTCTTTGGCATCCGCCTCTATTTTATGATTGTAAGTACAAACTGTCCCCTCTACGTTTATGTTACTATTTTCTTGGGCTAATTTCTTAATTATTAGCATTTCGCTCTCGCAAGCAAAACGCTTAGGATGACATTCGAAAAAAAATTCGTTAATCGTGTCAAACTTCAGCTTGTTATATCTGTTGTAGAGTTAATTGAGGGACTCATAAACCTTTCCAAGGATTTCTAGAAGCACTCCCTGTTCTTCCTCGGCAATTTGTTCTCTGGCCCATTTTGCCAGTTTCCAAAATGGAGCTAGTTGTGAAAAAATTTTTCTTTCCAGATTATTGGCTTTTCCAGCTTCATCAGATTCTGTCATCTTTTTTTTCATTAAATGATTTAATAAATTTTATATTGTTTTTTCTTCTCCAAAAGAGCCGTTGGAGGTAAATGGTTTGGTCGCCTTGTTGACCTTGCTGTGCCTCGACTCACAGCCGATGTTTGCTCTTTTGGATTACAATAAATCGATTATGCGCAAAGTTTCGTGCTTCAACGACTTACAAATCGGATATGCCTATACAATTGATAGGCTTTCTTTAATTTAATTATGCCTATACAATCTATAGGGCTTTTTTTTATTGTGCCTATAAAAATTCAGGGTTTTTGTGTTCTGCCTGTACAAATACAGGGCTTTGTTTGTGCCTATAAAATTTATAGGGGTTTTTTTATTTTGCCTATAAAAATTCAGAGCTTTTGTGTTGTGCCTGTACAAATACAGGGCTTTTGTTTTGCCTATAAAATTTATAGGGCTTTTTTATTTTGACTATATATTTACAGGGCTTTTTTTATTTTGCCTGTACAATCACAGGGTTTTTTTTGTTTTGCCTGTACAATTACAGGGCTTTTTTGTTGTGCCTATATAAACATAGAGCTTGTTTTCTTAAATTTTTCTGGAAATTTATTCCCAGTTAATTTTAGAGCTTTTATTTGCTCTATATACCAATTATTCTTGGTATTATATATATATTTTTTTAATTGCGGAAAATCTGTTCCCGTCTTACTTTGCCGCTTGAGCTTAATTTTTTAGGCTCGTATGGACCAAATGTTCGGTCCATTTTATTGTCGATTTCGAGGCTCGATTGACCAAAATGTATTGCCTATACAATTGACAGGGCTTTATATATTGTGCCTGTACAATTACAGGGCTTTTTTAGTTTGCCTATATAACTTATAGGGCTTTTTTGTTTTGCCTACGGCTTACATACATTTATGGACTAAACTGTCCTTGTGCCTATAAATTTATAGGGCTGTTTATTGTGCCTGACCAAATACAGGGCTTTTTTGTCGCAGATCACTTCCCTTGGGCTCGTATGGACCAAAATATTCGAGCAGAGCTGATTCACTTGTCCCTTACCTCGGGTGGGGGGTAACAAGTAATTCTCAGCAATGCCTGAACTACAAATACTCTTATTTTAAAATTCTCTTTTCCTTACCACTGGAGGGGGGAAGTAGAGTCTAATAAAATAAGAGGTTAGTACTTTCAATATTAAAAGTTTTACCCCTTACCGCTGGCGGGGGGAAGTAAAACTTTAATAAGGAAAGAAGAATAAAGAGAGTTAAATGCTTTACCCCTTACCTCTGGTGGGGGGAAGTAAAGCATATAAAATAAAATAGAGAAGAAGAGTGTTAGGTGAGATTCAATATTCGATTCGGAATATTTATTAAATATTTCTTCTTTATATACAATTTTCTTACTTTATGTTTCCTAACTAATTGTATATGTACATATGTGTGTGCGTGTGTGTATGTATGTATATTTACAAAAGATAAAATAAGAAACCAGTGCATTGGTTCTTAAGGTATTTTGGTTGTGTGCCTCTGCTACATCTTTGCATATTAAGAATATTTATAGGCAATGTATTTTCTGTTTATAGCACCATAAGGGTTCCTTTGCAGCATTGACATTTTAATGTTTCCCGTATGCGCTGCAATTTATATATGTATATATTTTTACAACTGATAAAGGATCAACCGATTCAATATTTTATTGTTTCTCGCGAACGTTGCTTACATTTAATTACTTGACATTCTTAACGTATGTTTATATATGCAAATTTAAGCATACAAATTATATTTTCTTCTATTTATATTTTCTTCAGTGGATTTCAGTGAATTTTTATCTTTCCTTTGTATATTCAAGGATTAGAAATGTTTATTACAATTTTAAGTTTGAGTATTTTTAAGACCCAGGCATATTGTACGTTTTCATGCATTCACACATGTTCAAAGATGTTTGAACATATTGCCGAGGGCAAAAAAGTGAATATTTATGTACTGTATTATTAAATATATAAGTTCTTGCTGTATTTAATGTTGTTACTCAGGCCATGTATCCATGTTCAAAGATATTTAAACAACTCTATTTGGGACTGGGGCAACGATATTATATTTTCACTGACACTTATAGGTATGGAACTGATATGTGTACATAAACTTTTATTGTAAGAATCACCTATATAACACAGCTCCACAAAAAAAAATTCTTCCTGCTACCAGACCAGACCAGACCAGATTTTTCCGGGAGTGGTGTGACAGGGTTGAAAAAACCTTGACCGGGTTGAATGGACGTCGGATTTTGATTCAGTGATCAAAAAAACATATAAAACTAATGGTCTGCTAACAGGAAGAATTTATTTTTATTTTTTTGTGGAGCGGTGTATTTGACTTGAGATCGATAAATAAACGCAGATCTAATTCCGATTGCAGGCATCGTTTCTATTCGCGCCGCCGCTACTATTCTCCGATTACGAGCCATTGCCCTTGCGGCTTTCGTTTGTCTTGACAAATTTCTTTTAGGGTTAGGCATTTTTAAACAGTTCGCACTATTCTGTTATTTTAAAGACTTTGTTTATATTTAGTAACAAAATCCCACTTAGTATAAGCCAAAAAACTAATCCTTTAACGCACTTCCTAATTTATCAACTTCGCGAAAACAATATACTGAATTCCCATGAAGCCCAACAAATAGACGTACATCATTGATTTGCAGTTGTTTGTGCATGCCACTACAGCATTGGAAAAATGGAATTCGACAGCGGCAGGATTCCCATAAAAAAAACAGGGCTACATTACTTTACCATATCAACTCTAATTTGAACATAGTTATGTACATATGTATGCATGTATTCAAGTCTAACTCAATTGATTGAATGTTGATCTGTTGAACTAACATTGTTGTGCTACGTGCAATGGCTTTGCGAGATTTGGAGAATACCCCTAATGTATGTATGCCACACCAAGAAGCTTACAGTGATGTGTCGAAATACACGATGTACAATTGGGGTGTTCACAGTTCGTTCCAAATTGTGTCTGAAAATGTAGACGTCTACATTTTGAGACATCTTTAGCATCAAACTGTGAGCACCCCTTTCTAGCAGTCGTCGCAAAATCGTCTCAAAACTTTGCTGGTGTTGCCAGACATTTCTTCTTTGCGTGCATTTTTTATATGTCGCCTTTCGATTTTGTTTCTGAAAAATTGTAATTATTTAACTTAATTACCAATTCGTAATATTTGTTATTTCTTTTCCTTGATTTGTTTCTTTTCATCAGAAATTGCGCTCAAATTAAATGCAAATACAGAAAACGTGCCCAATAAATAAAAAAAATGCGATTAGTATTGCCATAATGCAACCCTGCTGCGAGGTTGCAAAATGTAGACGCGTAAAAAACATACCTTTGAGTGTGACAAAATGTAGACGGCGTCGTTTTCCAATTTTGTATGGGAAACAACAACACCACAGATTTTACGGTTAGAAAACGTCTTAAAATGTAGACGTCTACATTTTCAGACACTATTTGGAACGAACTGTGAACACCCCAAATGTTTGTTTATTTGAACGCAGCGCTGCTTGTACATAAGTAGATTAATTTCGCTTTGGGCGCAGCGCTGTTTGTACATATGTACATTTCGCTTTGCGCATGCCTGAAGCTCATAGTTGCCAACTTGGTGCTTTAAGCACTAGATTTAGTGCTTTTTGAAAATTAAAACGCCAAAAAAAATCATTTAGTGCATAGTGCCTTTTTAGTGCTTTTTTTCTGAACTAAAATTACTCCGATATAGTTAAAACCTGAAATAATTTTCAAATATTTAAGGCTGTGGCAGCACTGTATTTACAAAAATCTACAAATTTAAATGCACTTAAATACAACCATGATTGCTAAAAAGCTGAACTTGCAAATTTACGTTGTTCAATTATATTCGCGTTGAAAATGCTAGTAGATATGCGAGTAAGTAAAGTATTTCTTTTTTATACCCGAGCGCACTTGTGCACAAGGGTATTATAACTTTGTTTACATAACGGTTGTTTGTAACAGGCAAAACGAATCGAGATAGATATAGACAAATGTATACATAAATGATCAGAATGAAAAGAGAAATCGATTAAGCGGTGACTGTCTGTCCGTCCGTCCGTCCGTGGTGGAAAACATATGTTTAACACTTGCGCCGGGTATTTAATGTTCGGCTCCGCCCGAACTTAGACTTTCTTACTTGTTTCTTTTCTAATTATTTATAAAAAATTTTATTTTTGTACCACCTAGAACACATGGTTTCTTGGTGCCGCACAATTGCTCTAGCACTAGAATTTTGAGATATCCTAACCTCAAAGTGCCAAAATCACGGTTTTTGCCGATATTTGAGGTTATATAACAAAAAAAAACATTTTTTTTGCTCATTTCTACTTAGGGCATGATTTTCGTTTGTTGGGACTCGATTTTTCTTTCTTGATATATATCAGTTTTAACGTGCAGTACATCGGTATTACGTCGCAAGCATGAGTCATTTCAATCGTTATGAGCGAAAAAGTTTTGTTTATTGATTTATGTATGCATTCTTGTAAATATTGTTAATTTTTTGTTTTTGTTAAATACATACAAACTGTTATGAAAAAAGCATCAATTGATTTAAAACCATTTGGTGCTTTTAGTGTGGCAACACTGCTGAAGCCAAGGTACATTGAACAGGTAGTATCAGTAGAGCAGCTGATTTGATTTATTTTCAAATTATTTGGTCTCGAAAATGTCAAATATTTTTCATTTTTTCTCACAAAAATTCTGAATTGTTAAAATCCATTTGCATGTGAAACCTTTTTCCATACAAAACAAGCGATTGAATAGCAGCTTTTGGAACGTTCGCCCAACTCAGCTGCACAACCGCTGATTACTGGCCCTTGT